CATTTTCTTATGATTTATTATAAGATCTACAACATAAAAATTGATTTTCCGAAGATCTTTTGTTTTGTCAATTTGGTTCCTTTTCTCAGCACCTAGCCCATATAATAAAAACAATAGGCATAAAACACCATAGGAGCGTTTTATAATATTCGTTAATTTATAGCTAACCTTTTATACTTGGTTAATTATATTAATTATATAAAATATCGTTTTATATTTAGTTAAAAAATTATTAAATTTAAAACTAAATAAAGCTATATGAATTTAATTTGTTGGTTCTCATAACGTATATAAAATAACTTGTCATCCCGGCTTTTAACTTATTGTCGAAATTTTATATAGATCCAGAAGTATTATATCTTTTTAGAAAATAAAATTATCGATATTATGGTTCAGAGAGATGATACTTCGGGAAATTGGGCAACCCAGTTTTTTATATATTAAGTAAAAGTAGTTTCTATATATAAAAGTCAAAATTGTACTAAGTAAATCTATTTCTTACAATTTAGATAACTTTTTATTAGTACATTTTTGCATTTTAAGTTTGAACTTAAAATGCAAAAGCATACTAATAAAAAGTCATCCAATTGTATAAAACTTACAGGATATGTATATTTTTAAATTATAAACAACTTTTATTAAGTGCCAAATATAAATTTACTTAGTACAATTTCAATTTTTATATATAACAACTGTTGAAATTTTTTTGGAATAGCTTATTTTTGAGTAAAAGAAATTTTATGTTTTTTGCCTAAAAGAGAAGGGTAGCTTATTTTTGAAGTAGTTTATTTTTAAAAATATACTATAGTGGTTTTTACAGAGATCAAGTTTCTTTTGTGAAGAACTTTTCTAGTTATATTCAGCATTAGAAGTGTTATTATACAAGATAACTGCAAAGAGTAATATCTTTATATAAAAAATTTTGTTAAAGAAACAATAGACTGTTTTCTTTATTAACAGAGCTTGTTAGACTGTCTTTGATAAGAATTTAGGTGAGCAACAAATAACTTATACATGTTCTTTTACACTTTTTAAAAATTTTTTTTCTATACCACCTCACTAAATTTCTGGAGATTTTTCACCAAAAGTAGGGTATCTAGCTTATCCTTTCCAAAAAATCTATGTTGTATATCACTACCAAATTAGAAAAGAAAGTTTCAGAATTGTTATATATAGCTTATATATATATATTACACTTAAGAAGAAAACAAATATTAATCATGCAAACCTGAACTTAGGTTTCAAAACTTTTATAAATTTGTAATTTGAAGCACATAATATAGTAGATACAGTTATTCTCCTATACAATCACCTCCTATACTATTACAAACTTTATATAATTACACAATTTTACAATTATTTTTTATAATATAAAAAATATCTTTATATATTTACAATTATAATACTATTACTATCACATTTTTTAAAAAAGTTTTTTTGCTAATTTACTAATAAAAATACCCTATTAAAATCACAAATTAATAAAAATTTTTTATTTAAATCTATAGATTTATAAAAAGGGGTTATTTATAATGTACATATACACAGCTATGCACCTCTTATATGATTATATATTTATATTGTATATTATATATACTGTATAATTTATATATATATATATCATACATATATAAAATACTATATATAAATAATAATATAACAAGACTTGAAGCAATAGATATTGCCTTTTTATAGCAGTACACCTGATTAAATTTCTAAACTAGTGCAATATAGCATGACTACTTTTTATATTCCAATCCAGTCTCTAAAAAGTCTGGCCTTAGACATGTGTTTATCTCAGTCAAAAAATAAGTAAAAACAGTCCAAATTTGGTCCAAACCAATTTGTTGTGGACTACCTAACATCCAAATATTATTTGCATTTTACTTAGTTTTCTTACCTATGTAGCTTATTAACTCTAAATCTAAATTGCAGTAGTTTTGATTTTTTGTTCTAAATTAGGTGACAATTTACAGGTTTTCTTATACTATTAGTTTAATACTTAATTCGTAATTGCAAAATGTTAGATTTCAAAAGATCAATAGCTTAATGTAGCAAAAGAATATATATATCGTGGTTAACATTTCAATAATAATATGAGTTCAGACATTAATATTATTGTTCTAGATAATAATACTAGTACAACAACCTTAAAAAGTAATAAAGAGAAGTTTAAGTAGTTGTATCTATTTAATGATAATAATACTGTTGAAGAGATTAATATAAATAGTGTATTTGTTGAAGAGCAACTTTTTTATAGAAATGTATAAGGTCTTATACATGCTGCTATGGATAAATATTTGCAGCATCATGATCATAAATTTGTTTACTTTATTGAAGATTATTTGAAAAAGATTCGTGAACAAGAAGAAGAACTTATCAAAGCACAAGAAGCCCGGAATAATATAATTTTAATATACAACAGGCTCAAAATGCAATTGATAAAGAGAATAAAGAATTGTTTACAAAATTCAGAAATTCTTACAAAGTGGCTATTAGAAAAAGGCCTAAATCTGCAAGTCATTATAACCAAATATCAGAAAATATACATAGCAAGAAAAAATATGAATATAATTGCAGAATATACAAAAGGCTAGCAGCAACATGTTCAAAAGGAACAGATATTACTGAGACTGATGATACTGAAACTGACAATACTAAAACTAAAAAGTGATGCAATGCTAAAGAGTCATTTGTTTTATTTTATGCTACTATAATTTACTACTTGCTATTTCTTTGTATTATGTGAAAGATTTAGTTTACTAGTAGTTTAAGCTAGATTGAGTTATTACTTATCTTTTTTATTTTGATATATGATAAATAAGTTGGTTCTATATATTAAAAATGCAGTATAAACAGTCATAGCTTATGCCATAACTAGTTATAAAAGTTTATCTATAGTATCTTTTAAGTGTTTGTAATTTAGTCTGCTATATAAGTTTATCTTGAATATTTATAAAGACTTCCATTATCGGTATACTGAAAGATCATTTTTTTCAACTTCAATTCTGTAACAATAACATGATAATATCTTTTTAACTCCAATTTTATTTTCATAACAGTAGTCAACACCATGTATTCCATTAAAATTACCTATCTTCGCGACTATCAAGTATTTGTATTTTGGGTTATTTTATATATTGTGAATTTAATTTATATTATACAAGACTTTTAAGCTTAAAGTTTAACTGATAAATTAGTTCAATAAACTGTTGAATAAATTATCAAAGCAATAAATTATAGCTTAATTAGTAATTCATAAAAGATGGAAAGAATTACTATAGTAATACTATATACCGTATTTCTCTGAAAATAAGCACCCCTTTTTTGCTATAAGGTTGCTTATTTTCGGGTATAATCTCAACTAATAATTTAAATGAT